GATTAAAGTAAGCAGTCATGTCATCACCGAAGTTGAATCCTGGAGATGTAATATGTACTGTACTGCGCATGAAGAGATAAGAAAGTTATGATAGAGATATACTCCTCTTGCTACACAACAAAACATGAAAGAAAATTTTGGCTTTATGCCTCTACAAAACAAAACGTGAAGCTCATTTAAAACCCTACGGGATGGTACTTCACCTCACTAGGGGTCGTCACTGCGCGTCAATCCTCCTGCTCATGCGTTCTGGCGTTAGCCGGGGGCGTTCAGCACTCCGGTCACCACCTGCTGCGGAGCAGGAGTTCCCTCTTCATTCATCCACACACCGGTCCAGGCTTCGCCTTCCACGGGCTGCGCACCAAGGGCTGTCCGGGGAGTGGAAAGCTACGCAAAAGGAGAACTGCGATATCGCCATTATCAAAACTTAAACCTCACCCGTGGCTGTGCGAAACGATCCTCGTCACCCTGACAGTCCTTGATGGATGTTGCGCGTGTTTCGTGCTCGTACAATACCAGCCGAGACGTGCGCGGTGTTAGTCTCGACTGTTGGAAGCTACCTCCTTCTTTACGCCATCCTCTCATGCCCACCGATAGGCAGGGAAAAGCTGCAGTGCAGTTGCGTGTTAGGACCCAGTGCGGAACTCTGACGATCGTCCTATAGGCGTTGGAGTTGCTTTGCGCGCGTGATATAGTGCAATGACCGTAATAGAAGACGATGCGCAAAAGAGGTCGTGCGAAAGTCACGACACAATACCTCCAAACCCACTGTGGTATTTAAATCGCAGCCATCTTACATTGCTTAGGTAAAGCAACATACCATCTCAGATCTCCTTCTTTTTTTCCGGCCCCAGGTTGGATTTGGGTCACCATAATCGCGCCAAGTGCTTCTAGGCTTACTGACGGAGGTATGTTTTCATCCGAAATCGCAGAGCCCGACGGTTCATCTAACGACTCCCGAAAGTTCCCATCCTCGTCAATATTTGAGATCGTTCTCCTAAAATGAATGAAACAGTTGGTGACGACTGCGAAGGCATTCCACTATCTCATTATAGAGAATACCCTGTAAGATCTGTGTCTTCTAAAAATCTTAACGCATCTTCATACTGCCAACATGACAGCGCGGGCGACCCCGTTTCTTTACTTGTTCCCTCCTCCTCCTCCAAATATCTCGCAGGCCTCTCCATAAGTTCTTTATATCTACTACCAAATCATCCAGCATGAATGTAGCTTATGCGATGTACTAGACGGATTTAGATGAGCAAACAAAACATACATGTCACGCTGTACCCATCGCTTTTTAAAGTCCAGAAAATCCTCCCCCATGCGTTGTCCTCTTAGTCTCGCATTTCGAAGGAGTCTCTCCTATGGCCCCAGATACATATCTCATATTCTATCAGTTCAGCTAATCGTGTCGCACCCTATCTGAAAAAAGCCATATGAAAAAATAATGACATATTTGCAAACTTCACTGCCGAAATCATTAAGTCACGTGAGAGTAAGCAAGTCGTAAGCAAGGAAACACAGAAAAATGAAATCAAAAGGGAGGTCTTAAAAGATGAGCTATATCTGGAAGTAGGCCGACCTATTTATACTGTTCATATGGGCGTGGCCCATACTGAGGTGCCACGATATCTCCCATCTATGCCCCTCGCTACGAGTCGAATATCCGGGGGGAAGGCCGTATCCCTAGGTTAGAACGCCGTGACCGACTCTCCACCAGGGGTTACGGACGGCAGACCGGCTATCCCTACGGTTATGTCGGCAGAACCATGCAAATGTTCAGTTTTTATTATGATACTGTGCTGGCGGAGGTGGTGTGTTGACAAGTGGCGCACTATATCGCACGCACGGTCGCGGGTTCGAGTCCGCGATCGATAGCCGCCTAGGTCAACCAAGCCTTCCATCCCTACGGGTCGGTTAATTGGTAGCAGACTCGCTTGCGAGGATAAAAGAGCACTGACTTATACATTATACATGGACTGGCCCCCGCAAGTCATTTTCTAAGCCACATGCGCACTTATACTCATACTTTATAGCCACATACAATGCGGGAGCGCATCCCTCAGACGGGATTGATTGATGCCAAAAGCCCTTACCCTCT